GAAGGTCAACATACAGGAACAGTTCTGTAACTCTAATTATTTGTATATTGTAATGTTCCTAATTGTGGAATAAATTTCATTGTAATAGCAGAGTTTAGAATAACAGTTGCGAGGCTCTAAGGGGAGGAGAATTCATCCTTTTGACACTAGCGCTCCTTGAGGCCGACAAGAGGCGTCTGAGTCTATAAGATATAAAAGAGGACTGCCCAATAATTCATAATTTTTGGTGCTTGAAATTTTAGAACACTTTTAAAACAGCACGAAGGCATGGGTTACATCTAAAAATTTGTTGTGTATACGTAGTAAAACATTCATTCCAAGTTTATCGTAAAATATTTATTTATTACACTTAGACAGGATAAAATCGACATGTATTGTGCTGAGACAAAATAAAGGATAATCACAGCATTTGGTTTTTGAAACAAGGAAAACTGCACGAAAAACTTTATTGAGATGGGGGTCCTACAAGGAGTAGTTAAAACGATATTTAAAAAATAATTGTAATTGCGAAAAGAGAAATTAAAAATGATAGAATATAAAAAAATCAAAATTGTTATTGTATTTATTAGCTGACATAGAATCTTTCTTAACATAAAAAATTATTGATCCGCCGAAAGTACAAAAAATGTACACAAAACCATATAGAAGGTAAAAAAGAAAACATTGGAATAAACTTATGTCAAATACGCTTTGAAATAACTTCATTCACGAACAATTTTGCTAACATGTTCCTTTCTGCTTCTTTAGGAAGCCTAAAAAGGATGCATTTGGCGAATTCCTATCATTGTTGCTGCACATTATAGCATTATAGGCATTTTCGAATATTGTTGGCATTTTTAATCAAGCTCAATGTACGCAGGACGCAAGTGTGATGTCAAAATTTAACAATGGCAAATGAGCTAAGAGCAGATAATAAATAATATTCAATAGATTCAGTCCACTTCATTAACATTGTATCGCTATCTTCACATACCGTAAGGAAACTACCTGTGAAAAGCATGCAAATACGTAAGCCGCACTTCTACGAATTGGTGCTGCCTCTTGCTCGTCACTGGGAACTGTGAAGTCGCACCGGATGAAAAAACTCGTAGGAAGCTTTGCAACTAATGTACTAAACTGTAGGAATAGTATGTCTTCTTCTTCGTGTTGTGATTGTCGCAAACAGCTGTGTATATGAGACTGCAGGTATAGATGACATTTCAAATTCTCTTCTACCTACACTTCTTCTGTGATTGTAGAGTGACAGAGAAGAGGGAGTAAAGAGCCTCCGGAATCAATTCCACAAAATGTTAGCGCGCGGTGGCTTTTCGGTTAAACTGCGAAGAGTTAGACATGGATTTGTGACCCTTCATGTACTGATTGATGAGCGATAAATAATCAGTTTTATCATCGCCCAATGCACGGCGATCCTCCTGATCATTTCTGATTGCGGAGAGAGGTAGAGGAGACGTGATGGCGAAGGGGTGAGGAAAAGCACGCGCCATCCACTCGCATACTGGTGTGGGCTGTTGCTGTTCTGCTTTAGAATTACTGGGTGTGTGACACAGTGTTGTGGAAGGCAAATATTTCCCTTAATCATCTTTTGACCAGTAGGACCAACCTGCTTAGAGCCGCTAAGATGTCTCCTGTTAAATGTTAAAATGTCTCCTGTTAAATGTTAAGATGTCTCCGGTTTTGTGTTAAAATTATTGTTCAATTCAAGTTGTTCGTTGATGAGATATTCGTTGATAAGATGATATGGATAGTACGTGTTATTAGTCCATAGCATTTATCCATGAAATGTAGACCACACAAATGAAACGTTTATAAAAATAGATGGACTTTTCTCCTTCTTCCTTTCACAGTTTAAGCCAGGAGGCTTATTCCGGCTTCACTCCTTCGTTGCCTCGGTCCACCAAGATCTCTTTTTCCCGCTAGTTGGTTGTATCATCTTCTATCCCGTATAGGTTCACGCTGAACGTTTATCCTTTATTTTGTTTAATGTGGAGAAAATGTTGAGGTCTTTTTGGATGCTTTAATTTCTGATCTGGTCTAGGAGGCTACAGTCTTTCACTGCTCTCAGAAATCTCTACTTTGAGATATGTTTCGTTGAGAGAATCTCTGACATATACATTCTCCTAATATTTCGGGAACCCCAATACTGAACGTTATCGCACTATGTAGCATGTTATGTTCCCCTCGCAATGTCTAACATTTGTATGAGCGTAGATTACTTACCTTTTCGCAATTCGGCTAAATTGCAAATGAGACGAATGGTGAATTTTTTACTAGGGTGTTTTTGCTCTGTGATTACACTCTTAACAAAGTTCAATATTCTTTTACCGTTTCTTTCATTTCGATTGGGTTGTTGGTAGCAATGGCTGGATCTCGACATGATTATCTTATTACAGATTACTCTGACGATTCATTATCCTTACCTGCAGTCTACATCTGCGATGAGACCCCACTTTCGTCGTAATACAAATTATAAAGTATCAAGGACCCACAAAACGTGAATTCGGACTACGCAAGTGATTTACTACAAATAGCAACAAGAAGTTACTTTTTTGGAATCGGGGATCTACAGTACGATTTTTTTTACAAAAATTGCAGTTTTTGGCTGGTCCATTACATAACTTTCTCTGTAGCACGTGTATTGTATGCGCGAAAGTAAAAATTGGTTTCTTGTTAAAGTGATCGTTCAGTAGGTTTGATAAGATGTTCTGGATAGGACATGGTACTAGTCTTAAGCCTTTATCCATGAAATATAGGCCAAATATATAAAATGTTTATTAAAAATAAATGAAACTTTTTTCTTTACCGATAAAGCTGTTATAACGACACCAACAATTTAATTCCCATATAATAGTTTTGATGGCATTGCTGTACGAAATGCTCACTTCTTTTGTTCGCATAATTATTCAAAACTGATGAATAGTAACCCTCTTATAGCCAAAGCATTGGAAGAAGGTGGGTTGCAGGATACTTTAGCTTTGAATGGAGATATCTATACACGAATGGGACATTTTAGAATTGAGTGACAAATCTGTTGAAGAAAAAGAGTGCATTTCTAAGAGTATGAGACCTCCCACTCATACATTCGCTTTCCTCCCACTTCTACTTCAGTAGTCCCGCATGAGTGAGGAGTAATAAGAGTTTGAGCAACGACATAAAAGTTGTTGTGGTACACGGCGTAGTTCGTTTGTTTCTTAAGCGTGGAAATGAGGGCCTCGTGGACTTTTTTAAATACACAAGATAAACTCGAAATAATCTCGAAGTTCATCTACTAGAAATAGATGCCAATAAAAGGACTTTCAACAAGTTACTTATTAGTTATCAGAGAGAGTACAACTGATACTTTTGGCAAGTTGGAATTGGCAAGTTTTGCGAATCGTCAGCGTACGAGTAAATACGTAACGCTTTTTTTGGTCTAAAGTAATTGGTGTTTTTCTTGTGGTTTCTGAAACATTTTGCACAATGTTTTTCAATAAAAAATAGGTGTAAAAGGGATAGTTTATTTTATTAGTAAATAGAAGGGTACATGAATATGAGTCATCGTACTTAAAATATATTCTAAAATTCATGAAGTTAATATTACATGTCTCTTTCAAAGAAAAAAAAACAAGATGTATATCCCGGAATGTAGGATGTGTTTATGGAAATATTACTTGTTTTCAGAATGAAAATATTTCCATTTTTTGCAATTTTACTTTTTTGTGTTCATTAAATTATATTATGTGTGAGTATTCCTGTTATTCCAGACTGCCCTCGTTCAATTGTAGTTGGAGAATTGATGCTTTAATAATACTGCTTCATGGTACTTATTAAAATTTTATCAAATGGAGCTTCATGAATTATAATAATTCTTATGGTCCACTGGAGTTAACAAACATAGAATATGCAATATTCTCTTCCCACCAACAGCGTGTGTGTGTTTAGCCGAACGATTAAACAGTTTCATTAATTTCCATTGCACTTGTAGATCTGCGGCTCGTTATTTATTTAAGCTTTGCAAATACGTCATGGTGGGCATTGCTGACATTCAAAATGTAGAATACGAATAGCATTATAAGTACTATGTCAGGCTGTTTTCAATAGTTTTGTGACTGTTGATTAGGAAATTAATTCGTACGTATTAAAAATATTTAGTTCCTTATTAATGCCCCTTTTTCTCGCGGAAACACAAAAACCTAAATTTACATCAGTGGCATTAAACTCATATGAATATACATATTTATGATGTCTCTAATCAAAAAGCATTGACTAAGATTAACGTTCGAGAAATCTCGTTATTTTACGTTGATCTGAATAGTTCAATTATCTTTTAGAGAATATGATTTTCTTTTCATTTCGGTTCGTGTATAATTCAAAGAAGTGCCAAATTTATTAGTGGGTATTTAGACAATCCGTCATTTAATGTATTTGACAAACTAAAACAGCAGGGAAACTGTGATGAAGGGACATACATAGGGGAAATAGTGTTCTTATAAAGACTGTCAATATTTGTCTGAACGCTTCACACAATTCGGGTTGCCGCCCCTACGCAAACTGCAGTGCTGCATTTCAGCGGGCCGCATTATGCTTCTATGCATCAGTAGCCAAAAGTGTTTCTTATTCCAAGCGTTTGTTTTTATTATCAATCTAGATGCAAGAATTCATGCAGTACATGATGAAGCGAACGAAACGAGTGGAGTGGAGTGGTGGAAATGTCAACGCGTAAATAATAAACATTAGACGGTTTTGAAGTATGTTAAACGTTAAAGAGATATAAAGAGTTATGACGTGGCAAACGAATTATTTTTCTCTTTCTTGGGTTACGTTGTTTGAGAGGAAACTCACCGCGTAGGGGATTATCGGACATCCGCAATGGGAATCTGCCTGCGCGCGTTATCACGCCCGCTTCCTGTGTGAGAGATAATCTGCGAGGGCTTCCGCCCCGGCGGATCACTCGTCACTCGCACGGCGGGACCGCTCCGGCTCACTCTCGCCCACTCCCGCCGCGCGCACGCCGCACGGCACGGCACGGCACGCCACGGCTCGCCACGGCTCGGCTCGGCACGTTGCTATTCGTAGAGCGCGGCCGGTTTATAAATAATATAGGCGCCTTTCGGCGAGGGCGGTTGGCAGCGCTGTGGCCCGGCGCGCGCGGGTATTGATCGCGGGCGCGTCGCCTGGTCGGGGCACTTCACCTGCAGCGGGCGGTCGGGTCGGCATGGAGCCGTGGCGAGCCTCCCGGGCCCAGGCGCTGCGCGGCTCGCCTTGACGTGCAGCAGCAACCCCCGACCGGGCTCATGAGGTTCTACCCCAGTGCAGTGAGGTAATCGCGTGGCCGGCATGTCGTGCTGCTGCCCCGTCGAAGAAGCCACCCCGCCGCCAGAAGATGATTGTCTAACCGTGCGCAAGTGGTGGTGTTTTGTGTTATCGAGTATCTTTACGTTTCTAGCGGGCTTGTTGATTGTTCTGGTGTGGAGGGCGTTTGCGTTTCTGTGCTGCCGGAAGGAACCCGAACTATCTCCAAATGACCCGAAACAGAAGGAACAGAAAAGTGCGAGGCAGGGCAAGCAGGAGTTCGAGGGGACTTTCATGACCGAGGCCAAAGACTGGGCCGGAGAGTTGATTTCTGGACAAACTACGACTGGCAGAATTTTGGTACGTATGACGTTTGCGTTGTGCTTGCTGCGGCTTGAGCTGCTTATTTTGCTCGTCATTGAATTCTGTGATTGGAGAATCTAAAAATTCCTTTACTGGCTCTTGTCATGCTGACGACATTCGTTTGTGCGGGAACGTTGAATTATTGGTATGTCAATGTTTAAATCATCAACACGCGTTGGTGGTGGAATGTCATGTTATTATAAACATCTGTAAGAAGTCGTGTATTAATAAATATGAAATAATTTTCTGGCGTAGGTAGTTGTTGGATAGTCGTCAGTAACGCTGCCAAATACCTTAGGCCCATTTTGTAGAAGAGCAGTGAGAACAAAGTTCAGCTTTGCACTACCTAGCTCAGTTTTTTCCACAAGTAACCCACTTTTTTCATAAGTTTGCATTACAGCCTACGGATAGTAGGAAGCAACTGCATCAAATACACGTGAAGATTCTGCATGGCGATGGATAAAAGATCTATGACGTGCAGTGCCAGCTGTGACGGGTAGTGAAGCTCACAATTTGTTCGAAAATGATTCTATCTATATCTCCTCCGTAGATTGAATTATGAAAATAGTGTACATTTTTACCACACGATTTGCGTCAGAATGTGACATTATTCACTTAAGGGCGTGGAATGTAATTTGCCGTTGGGATATTTACTGGATTACGTAGTATTCAGATCACGTAGAGCACATATGAAAAGGACAATCGCGTTGCTAACACTTAATTTCAAGTTGATTAATACTCAATTCTGGCTCAATTTACTTTTTTGGACACTGCGTGTCATGGCATGTTGGTCCCTCTTTCCTGTCCTCTTTCCCGCCCTGTAACTACAAGTTACGTGTAGTATTTCTATGGTTAGTGTCTCCTTGATACATATTTTAGTAGTTCTTCCCATTTACCGCAAATTGGAAGACTGTCAAATTACGAAACATTTACTTATAACAACACTACCGGAAATTATACATGTATTACAAAAGACATGTCATAAGTAATTTAACTTTTACAAAATGTTACGACAAAACTGTTTATTTCATTAATATAAGTTCTCGCTTGATAATTTCGTCGCGGTTTGGAAAGCACTATCCAGTTAATCACATAAAATTGCACAACACGCAGTTTATGGTATTGGTCAGGTTTGTTGAAAACTGTACACAAAAGAAAGTTTAATTTTGACGGACCAGCCCTAGGTTAACTTTTTTAGGAAGGTAAATCAATACCGTAATTAATAAGTCGGAATGGCGCGCGGCGGCGGCGGCGGTGCCGGCTGGGCCCTGTTGTGCGCGCGCGAGGGCCGAAAGTGAAACGCGCGCGGAGCGGGGGCAGGGGGAAGCTGGCAGCTCCTAGAAAACAAATCGAAGGCAGGGAAGCGGCGCCGTGGGCCGTGGACGCTGTCGTGCGCGAGGGCGCGGTGCGCAGCGTGCGCAGCCGGTGCCCCAACGAGGGCCATCGCCAACGACCTTGACCCGCCCTCGGCGCGAGCGCCTCCTTGCGAATCCCGGCTACTAGGCAGCCAGCCCTGGATGCTACCGGGCCGCAAAAATCGATGTGCTTAACAAGCGGGGCGGGCGGGCGGCGGGGGCGGACGAACGTTCAGTGTCACGCCTCGCCTGCCCTGCCCTGCCCTGGCCTGGCCTGGCCTGGCCTGGCTGTCGTGCGTCGCCCGAGGAGGCGGGGCGGGGGCGGGCGCCCGCGTTTCCGACGCATTGATTCCCCGCCGCGCGGCGCCGGGTGGCGCGGGGGGCGGGGCGGCGCGGAGGTTCGCCAGAGGCCTGTGGGGCGCTGGGAGGGGGAAAGCAGGTCGTCCGGGAGCTGACCCCGCGAACCCGGCGAGCGCCCGCAGCCCCCGCCCCCCCCTTCAACCCCCACACCGCACGCACCCTTCCGCCACAAAAGACTTTTCCCGAGAAAATCGAGGATCGTCGTGGTGTGATCGGTGGCGCGCGAAAGTGAAACTTCTTCCGCAACTTGGGATTGACTTCGGAATTGGTTCGCTCCGAACAATTCCTCACACGAATTTGCTCAAACAATGATACTACTTGAGTTAAACCACGTGCGATAGGAGGATATTTTTACGTTGGTAGCGTCGTTAATGCTTGTTTGTCAACTTAACGTGGTAGCCACTGTAAAAAAAGGACTAGTATTCTTTAACACTTCTTAACATTTTACGTGTGTAGAGTTCATTATTGTCACTCCGCATGTAAATATGACATTTCTGTGACAACCATCTTTTGTGAAATAAGAACCGTATTGAATAATTAATACATACATTTTTACTATATCATAAATTGTCATTTGTCTTCTTCTGTTCTATATGCCACTTAACTTTAATTAATACAATTTGTTGAAAACTTCTTCTTTATACTAAATAATTATTTAATTTATATACAGTCTGATTAAACAATATATTCAATCATACCTTAAAAACTATCTCAAAATTGAAGTTTATATGTTCGTACGCATCATACTGCTTATAATCATAAAAGTATACTTCGGTACCCACCCTGAAATTTCCTGAAAATATTACGGTACATATTTGCTCTTACAATATATTACGCAATGTTTCGCAATATGTTACAATAATATCTACATGAAATTCTTCTGCTTATATTCTCAGTGATATCAAACATAGTGAACAAATAAACAAATAAAAAACAAGTGAAAACTAAACATAGAAAACAGAAAAATAACTTGAGAACGATGAAACAGTAGCGGAGAACAAATATACATGTGCTTGATAAAAATGTAGAGAACACACTCTTTAATGAATGTCAATTTTCCAAAAAAGCGTAGCTAAAAGATTGTGCATTGCCTTGCCGTTTGGAGTTTCGTACTTTCTTATGTTGTCAATTTAAAGTGGCCTAATAGACCAAAAATATTGGCAATGAATAACCTACCGCTAAAGGATACAGTTAAGTGAAATTATAGTTTCTTCAAGTTAATGTTTTAAAAAACTTGTCTTTTTTGGATGTTTTGGTTCTGTGCGCCTGTTTAGAACAAGGCACATCATTGTCGTGGAGTTTCGTTATAGAATACTCAGAAGAGAGAACGTAATAGATAATTCCTTAGTATTACATATAAATGTTGTCTTAGAATAAATATTTCATGATTACTTTTGACAGTGAACGTGTGGTGGGAAATTTCTTATAAGGAAATCTCACGTGACACTTGCCTCTGATGCTGGCAACGTGTTATGCACTGGTGTATGGTGTCCACAAGATCCGACGCTGGCAGGGACCTTTCGCACACCTGCCGAACACTGCTGTCTGATGGGGATGCCTACCTATCAGGGGCAATGGTCACACGTGTGTTTGTGTAATTCTAAGTGCACATGACCGAAAGCGTTGGGCTAGTCGTGATAGGAAGATCGGTACCCGGGTGCTCGCGCCTATGCCAGTCTAATCTACTACTTAACAAATTCACTATTGAAGAACTGGTGTCACACACAAGCTCTTTGTGGTAATAGAAAATTCAGAAAAGACAGGGATACTAATTGTTAATATAATAATATGTAGACCTCAGGATATATAAACAGACAATGAAAATTTGACTTATAATAACTTCACATAAGACTTAAAAATACTATTTACAAATGAGTTTCTACGTGTGTGTGTGTGTGTGTGTGTGTGTGTGTGTGTGTGTGTGTGTGTGTTGTGTGAAGGGTGTAGCCTTGCGAGTAACTGTTCCAACCGCATCCTGGATGGTCATCTCTGTCGACTGTTCAGCAACTTGCGCATCGTCTTGCTGCCGGGCTGTGGGGCAATTGTCACACGTTCAACTTCGTTGTACGAAACGTATTTATTAGCAACATTCTATTCATTATTATATTAAGAGAAATAGCAGAAAGAAAAGAACCGCGACACTCACATGAAATTTTCAGCGCATTATGTATGGAGGACCAACTGTTGTGCAATGCTCTGTCTACAGATTGTTACCGAATTGATTGTGATGTGCAACAGAAGTTTGAGATTAAACTTCTTAATTCTACTTAAGAACAGCGGAGGACAGAATGACATGGCGGCAGCGAAAAGACACTTTGGCCTTTAGGATGATGATGATGATTCTACTTAAGTTTATTTTCATGTATATGAGAAATCAGTTACTTGATAATACGTTGACTCACATATGTAATCAATTACGTATATTTAAAGATTATAATTACGTTTGTTTAAAATAAATTATATTTCAAAGATTTTCTGTAGTTAAATGAGCATTCAAGTAAGTGGAAAATGAATCTGTCGAATTGCAAAAAACGCATGAATACGATTTAAACATAAATGACCATCATTCTGAATTCTAAAAGAATTGAATACATACAGTACAATTTTAAAATGTGATATTCAGTATCATGGAAATTGTCGTATTGCCAAAAAATGGCAATTCTACAGTCACTGCACCTATGTGCTACAAATGTCGTGGATAACTCTCAATGATTCTCAACGAGTCTAACGTCTCAGTGTCTCTTTCAATCGATGGAAGTGAACGATATAAAACGACGCAGAACATGGCATAAAATATTTAGGCCTTCACATCTACTCAAATATGTAATGGCATCTTTCCATCGGTAAGGTACGTTGGAAAGCAACTATTTGGGACTACACATTCTGCACACTGTATATCTAGTAGTTCACAAGTCATCCACGGCAAGAACGTAGCATTTGCAACTGAGATAAAGCTCTAATCGTCGTATACTCATCACAAACTCTACAAACAGCGCGTATCGTCTCGCCCACTAATCTTGCTGCTGCAGATTCTTCTTCCGCCGCCGGTTATTCTCGCCATCCATGTAAGAAACTACGCGCTGCGAGATGGATTTTTTCTCAAATTCTTATATTTGTGCATAACATGTACAAAGAAGAAACACCATTATAAATTGTGTATGTGTACTTCAAAACCAAGAGTCGATACAGTGGACAGGGCAACCTTGCTAATGGAGAAGAGCGAATAAGAGCTTGCACAGAAAAGCGCAAATAAGCACTCAGAACTATTGTTGATAAAACAAGAATGGACAGAGTAAATAGTGAAGAAGTAAGACAAGAATGCAACATGAAGAAAGGAGAGTTTGTGTTCAGAAGAAGAAAGGTAAAGGATAAACATGTTAGTTGAATTCCAGCTAATATGCAATATCGGAGACAGCGGATTTGGAGCCAAAACATCTATGAAAATTGTGGAGGATGTCGTGAAGTATTAAAATTAGATATGAAAATGAGAAAATGTTAACACTGATATAAAGTCAACAAAGGAGATTGTGCTAGCAAAGAAGAAAAGTAGTTCTACATTTCATAAAGCAAACATCAGTTAGTGACCTTTGAACAAATGGTATAAAAATACAAATAGTTGTAGCACATATTGAGTAGTATAAACTATTACACATGCTAAATTACCGTAGTTACATCTGACG